GCTGGACAGTCATTGATTTGTCAATTTGTTTTATTTTTCCCTGTCTCATAATGATCACTTTATATTTGAGGATTTTCTATGTTGTTCATCAGCAAGTGAAGGTTATAAACTCTCTGATGAAGGGTGGTAAATGTGAAACGGAGGGTTCAGTGAAGAGGAAATCTGAGAGTAAAGCTGCTCTGACTTTAGGAATCATTGTGTCTGTTTATCTGCTTTGCTATATCCCATACTATATCTGTACTTTACTTGTAAGCTCCTCCACAACTATAAATGTTTTAATGTGGAATGTGCATGCTAACTCAGGTCTGAATCCTCTGGTTTACGCTATATTTTACCCCTGGTTTAAAAAGACAGCTAAACTCATCTTGACTTTGAAAATATTTCAGCCGGCATCCTCACTGATAAATATATTTACAGAAAATGAATTGTAACTAAGCTGGTAAAGCTGATAATATTATCTGTGATTCCCTTAATAGTATTAAAACAATTACATATAAACATAAGATCAAATTTAGAATAATAGAACATAATTGTTAATAATATCACTGTTTCTTTTGTTTCTAACTACATTCATTATATTGTGTGTGGGGCATTGGAGATGTTGGAGGTAAATATTATTCAGATAATTCACTAACATATTAGGATATTAATTAAATTTTATTAAGCCATTATTATTATTTTTTTTCCAATTAAAAGGTCACACATGAAAGCAGAACTCATTAAAGCAGTGTTGTAGTCCCCAGGTAGTATGTCTGTATGTACACTGAGAAATAAAGGTATAAGATCTGTCACTGGGGTGGTATTTTTTTCAAAAGATACAATTTTGTTCCTAAAAGGTCCATATTAATACCTCAAGGGTACTTTTCAACACCTAAAAAGTACAAAAGTGTTTCTCCTAAAATTTGTAGGCACTAATATATACTTTTGAGGTACCAATATGAACCCATCAGGTACAAATGTGAACCTTTTGAAAAGGTACTACTCCAGTGACAGCTCACGTACCTTTATTTCTGAGAGTGTATAACATTCCCATCAAACAAAAAAGATGAGCACAGTAGTGAGTGTGTGTGTGTGTGTGTGTGTGTGTGTGTGTGTGTGTGTGTGTGTGTGTGTGCGTATGTCTGCGTGCGTGTGTCTGCGTGCGTGCATGCGAGAAAGTTTAACTGAATTAGTTTATTTCTTAACAATTTCTGTGATCTCATAATAGCGAGCATCACAGTCACGCAGCACAATCACCTCACAGCAAGAAGGTCACTGGTTTGAGCCTCGGCTGGGTCAGTTGGCATTTCTGTGTGGAGTTTGCATGTTCTCCCCGTGTTTGCGTGGGTTTCCTCCGGGTGCTCCGCTTTCCTTCACAGGTCCAAAAACTTGTGTTGTAGGTGAATTGGGTAAGCTACATTGACGGTAGTGAATTTGTGTAAATGAAAGTGTATAGGTGTTTCCCAGTGATGGGTTGCAGCTGGAAGGGCATCCGCTGCGTTCAACATTTGCTGGATAAGTTGGCGGTTCATTCCACTGTGGTGGCCCCAGATTAATAAAAGGAATAAGCTGAAAAGAAAATGAATGATAGCTCATTCACTCATATCATGATAGCTGAAACCATAGAGATTCATATCAGAGTTGCACAAGTCAGAATTCGGTTTATAACCACAGCATGGAAACTGCCCTGATTAAAATCACCAATGACCTTCTTATGGCAGCTGATTCTGGACTAATATCTATTCTCATTCTCCTCGACCTGAATGCGGCCTTTGACACTATTTGTCACAGCACCCTCATCACTAGACTATATCCACTCTTGGCATCACCAATACCCCACTTAACTGTTTTAAATCATTATCCATTCAACTTAAATCATTCACTTCTCAGCATTTTACAGTTTCTTTGGGTGTACCCCAGGGCTCAGTCCTGGGCCCCCTGCTTTTAACATCTATTTCCTTCCACTTGGTGATATTCTCCACAAATAGAACATACAGTTTCACTGCTATGCGGAGGACACCCAGCTTTATCTCTCAGGCTAACCCTCTTCTTGTTTTCCACCTACATCCCTCACAGCCTGCTTAGCAGAAATCAAGTCCTGGCTCTCTCTTCCTCAAACTGAGTAGTTCAAAAACTGAGGTTTTGCTTGTTGGTACCAAATCAACACTCTCCAAAACTGACAGCTTTTCTCTTTCAATTGACGATTGTTCCATCTATCCCTCTAAACAGGTTAAGAGTCTGGATGTCATCCTTGACAGCACCCTATCTTTTGATTCTCACATCAATAACATCACCCGGTCTGCTTACTTCAACCTACGCAACATTCACTGTCTCCGCCCTTCTCTTACCCCTCATACCACTGCTGTTCTTGTCCATAGCCTTGTCACATCTTGTTTAGATTACAGCAACTCTATTCTCTTTGGTCTCACTCATAAATCCCTCTGTAAGCTTCAGTTGGTCCAGAACTCAGCTGCCCGTATCATCACCAGAACTCCTTCTTCTCATCACATCACCCCTGTCCTGCAGCAGCTTCAGTGGTTACCAGTTCATTTTCGAATTGACTTTAAAATCTTGATGTAGCATTCAAACATCCACAATCTCGCCCCTCCATATTTGTCTGCCCTCATCCACATTTCTGCTCCTTCTCGCACCCTGCGATCTTCTTTCTCCCTCCACTTGTCTGTTCCCTCTTTTTGTCTTTCGACTATGGGCAAAAGAGCATTCAGCCGCTCTGCTCTGCGGCTTTAGAACTCGTTACCACCTGCCATCAGAAACATTGACTCCCTCACACTATTCAAATCAAGACTCAAAACCCACTTATTTAAGAAAGCTTTTAACACTTAATTTTTTTCTGCACTATTATTGTGTATATTTTATTATTTCTCTTGTTGTTTTATTGCTCTTGTTGGTTGTACGGTGCCCTTGAGCGCCTTTAAATAAAATGTATTATTATTATAAAAATGTATTATTATTATAATCAGACCCCCATAATTTTATAAACCTTAAATGGTAAGTTTTGCAAGTAGTTATGTGTATTTAAATGTCTGAAAGCTAAAATAAATTATATTTGTTTTAAAACACTGATAAAATGTGATTTATGACAAGCACTCTGCACATCTTTCTGTGCCTCAGCGGGATTTAAATATGAGTAGTTGATGATGTGTTATAACTTGATAATCACAGTGATGTGATCGTACACTTTAGTGAACAGTGTAGCCGTGCATTTATACTTCTGTATGCTGTTTGTGTTGCTCTGCAATTACACTTCCGAAATGCTAGCTGGCAGTAATTTTTTATGTTCCTTTGTGTCGAGTTTCTTTGCAGGTGTTTTGTGTACCTTAAATGTACAAGTAGCTAAAACTCACTCATTCAGAGGTGTGAGCCAGCGGACATGCAACAACTTCAATCATAAGGTAAATGCAAAACAACAGTCTGCATCTGGAGCTTCTTCATGGGACTCAACACTTGTAAACATTTGATCCATCTGGCTCACGGCTCTCAGCACCACCCACACTCATCAAATCTACCAAGCCGACCAATCCCAGAGTTTGCACTACATGTCATTGCGACATTACATTTTTGTAGATGCATGTCAGCATCAGCCACAGCGAGGGCTATGCCACCACATGAAGGCTACACCAAAGCATATGTGTGCACTTCACACAGAAGTATAAACCAGCCTCACCTCAAATAACCAGTCGTCACAACCGAGGTCTGCAGAAGAGCATCTCTGAACACACAACACATCCAACCTTGAGGTGGATGGGCTACAACAGCAGAAGACCACACCAGGTGCCAGTCCTGTCAGCTAAGAACAGGAAACTGAGGCTACAATTCACACAGACTCACCAAAACTGGACAATAGAAGATTGGAAAAAAGTTGCCTGGTCTGATGACTCCATTTCTGCTGATCGAAGGGTTAATATCTGGTGTCAACAACGTGAAGGCATGGATCTATCCTGCCTTGCATCGACAGTTCAGGCTGGTGGTGTTGGTGTAATGGTGTAGGGGATATTTTCTTGGCACACTTTGGGCTCATTAGTACCAATTAAGCATTGTGTCAACGACACAGCCAACCTGAGTATTGTTGCTGACCATGTCCATTCTTTTATGACCACAATGTACACATCTTCTGATGGCTACTTCCAGCAGGATAACGCAACATGTCATAAAGCTCAAATCATTTCATCTGTACCTAATTAAGTGGCCAGTGAGGGTATATGTGGTGCTGTGAACAAATGATACTAAAACACAGAAGAATGCTGTGAGACTGCTAATGATATCCTTCATTATCACATTGAGTACTGAGTACAGACATAAACAGAGCAATATGATGGGTTTTAAATAGTTGAGGCAATAACTGTTAATGTGTCTCCACTGGTCATCTAGTTGATACAGTATTAGCAGGTTTAGTTGTAACAGGGTTAATCAACTTAGCAGTGACTGCAGTGCATTTAACATACCTATGCAGCTCTGCAAAGGGCATCGTATGAGATTTTTCACTGTGTAACTCACTAACCAAAGTGTTAATATAAGAGCTCCTACAATGCCTGTATCATACAGTATGGGCAAAAGGCCGGAATGATATTAAACGTTTGCAAATTGACCTAAATCTGTTGACATGTAGATGGGAACTTGTTCCTTGTCCTGTATAGCAATGATCTGCAATGGTAATGGGTGGATGGTAAGATCGGAACAGGGAGGTTTAATAATACTTTTGGTATGCTTTAAGAGTAATGCAGTACATAATGTGGATGGCGTATCACTGCTTAACCCATCAGTTTTAAAGGTCTTTACACCTTTAAAATAACCCAATAAACAACAAAAAATGTATAAATAATAAATGTAGTATTTAGCTTTAAAAATAGAGAAAATAAGTATTGAAGATCAAAACAAGCTTGCATTACTATAGCAACTATAAACAGTAGACTGGGAGGATTTCTTATTGTTTATTTCTTTATTTCTTCAACATTTGATTGGGCGGTGAGTGATGCAGACACAGTATAAACGAAAGGACAGAAAGGAGAGCAGAACAAACTCCTAACAGGAGGAGACTCACTCATGGCCTACGAGACAGAGCATCAGGAGACTCAATACTGCTTTCCTAACATCAACTCATCATGTGTCAAAGGGAGACGCTATAGACATGAATATATCATCATGTATGTGTTCTTTTCACTGCTGTCAGCATGGACTGTGTTTCTTAACCTGCTGGTGATCATCTCCATCTCACACTTCAAGAAGCTTCACACTCCAACCAACATGATTATTCTCTTTCTGGCTGTAAATGATCTGCTTATTGGACTTATTGTGTTGCCTGTGGAGGCCATCAGGCTGATTGAGAGGTGTTGGTACTTTGGAGAAACTTTTTGTTTTCTGTATTTAATATTAATTGTGCTTATTTTCTCTGCATCTCTCAGTTATTTAGTTTTAATTGCTGTTGATCGTTATGTGGCTGTGTGTCACCCTTTACTGTACCCACAGAAAATAACCATCACTAACATGTTAAAGAGCATCTGTCTGAGTTGGGTTTGCTACTCAGCTTATAACATCGCCTTTGTAATTAATAATAGAAACTTAAACTCTTCACAAAAAACAGATGTGTGTTATGGACAGTGTTTAATCATGATGAGTTTTAGCTGGACAATCATTGATTTGTCCATTTGTTTTATTTTTCCCTGTCTCATAATGATCACTTTATATTTGAGGATTTTCTATGTTGTTCATCAGCAAGTGAAGGTTATAAACTCTCTGATGAAGGGTGCTAAATGTGAAACGGAGGGTTCAGTGAAGAGGAAATCTGAGAGTAAAGCTGCTCTGACTTTAGGAATCATTGTGTCTGTTTATCTGCTTTGCTATATCCCATACTATATCTGTACTTTACTTGTAAGCTCCTCCACAACTATAAATGTTTTAATGTGGAATGTACATGCTAATTCAGGTCTGAATCCTCTGGTTTATGCTATATTTTACCCCTGGTTTAAAAAGACAGCTAAACTCATCTTGACTCTGAAAATATTTCAGCCGGCGTCCTCTCTGATAAATATATTTACAGAAAATGAATTGTAACTAAGCTGGTAAAGCTGATAATATTATCTGTGATTCCCTTAATAGTATTAAAACAATTACATATAAACATAAGATCAAATTTAGGATAATAGAACATAATTGTTAATAATATCACTGTTTCTTTTGTTTCTAACTACATTCATTATATTGTGTGTGGGGCATTGGAGATGTTGGAGGTAAATATTATTCGGATAATTCACTAACATATTAGGATATTAATTAAATTTTATTAAGCCATTATTATTATTTTTTTTCAATTAAAAGGTCACACATGAAAGCAGAACTCATTAAAGCAGTGTTGTAGTCCCCAGGTAGTATGTCTGTATGTACACTGAGAAATAAAGGTATAAGATCTGTCACTGGGGTGGTATTTTTTTCAAAAGATACAATTTTGTTCCTAAAAGGTCCATATTAATACCTCAAGGGTACTTTTCAACACCTAAAAAGTACAAAAGTGTTCCTCCTAAAATTTGTAGGCACTAATATATACTTTTGAGGTACCAATATGAACCCATCAGGTACAAATGTGAACCTTTTGAAAAGGTACTACTCCAGTGACAGCTCACGTACCTTTATTTCTGAGAGTGTATAACATTCCCATCAAACAAAAAAGATGAGCACAGTAGTGAGTGTGTGTGTGTGTGTGTGTGTGTGTGTGTGTGTGTGTCTGCGTGCGTGCATGCGAGAAAGTTTAACTGAATTAGTTTATTTCTTAACAATTTCTGTGATCTCATAATAGCGAGCATCACAGTCACGCAGCACAATCACCTCACAGCAAGAAGGTCACTGCTTTGAGCCTCGGCTGGGTCAGTTGGCATTTCTGTGTGGAGTTTGCATGTTCTCCCCGTGTTTGCGTGGGTTTCCTCCGGGTGCTCCGCTTTCCTTCACAGGTCCAAAAACAAAACAGTAGTGAATTTGTGTAAATGAAAGTGTATAGGTGTTTCCCAGTGATGGGTTGCAGCTGGAAGGGCATCCGCTGCGTTCAACATTTGCTGGATAAGTTGGCGGTTCATTCCACTGTGGTGGCCCCAGATTAATAAAAGGAATAAGCTGAAAAGAAAATGAATGATAGCTCATTCACTCATATCATGATAGCTGAAACCATAGAGATTCATATCAGAGTTGCACAAGTCAGAATTCGGTTTATAACCACAGCATGGAAACTGCCCTGATTAAAATCACCAATGACCTTCTTATGGCAGCTGATTCTGGACTAATATCTATTCTCATTCTCCTCGACCTGAATGCGGCCTTTGACACTATTTGTCACAGCACCCTCATCACTAGACTATATCCACTCTTGGCATCACCAATACCCCACTTAACTGTTTTAAATCATTATCCATTCAACTTAAATCATTCACTTCTCAGCATTTTACAGTTTCTTTGGGTGTACCCCAGGGCTCAGTCCTGGGCCCCCTGCTTTTAACATCTATTTCCTTCCACTTGGTGATATTCTCCACAAATAGAACATACAGTTTCACTGCTATGCGGAGGACACCCAGCTTTATCTCTCAGGCTAACCCTCTTCTTGTTTTCCACCTACATCCCTCACAGCCTGCTTAGCAGAAATCAAGTCCTGGCTCTCTCTTCCTCAAACTGAGTAGTTCAAAAACTGAGGTTTTGCTTGTTGGTACCAAATCAACACTCTCCAAAACTGACAGCTTTTCTCTTTCAATTGACGATTGTTCCATCTATCCCTCTAAACAGGTTAAGAGTCTGGATGTCATCCTTGACAGCACCCTATCTTTTGATTCTCACATCAATAACATCACCCGGTCTGCTTACTTCAACCTACGCAACATTCACTGTCTCCGCCCTTCTCTTACCCCTCATACCACTGCTGTTCTTGTCCATAGCCTTGTCACATCTTGTTTAGATTACAGCAACTCTATTCTCTTTGGTCTCACTCATAAATCCCTCTGTAAGCTTCAGTTGGTCCAGAACTCAGCTGCCCGTATCATCACCAGAACTCCTTCTTCTCATCACATCACCCCTGTCCTGCAGCAGCTTCAGTGGTTACCAGTTCATTTTCGAATTGACTTTAAAATCTTGATGTAGCATTCAAACATCCACAATCTCGCCCCTCCATATTTGTCTGCCCTCATCCACATTTCTGCTCCTTCTCGCACCCTGCGATCTTCTTTCTCCCTCCACTTGTCTGTTCCCTCTTTTTGTCTTTCGACTATGGGCAAAAGAGCATTCAGCCGCTCTGCTCTGCGGCTTTAGAACTCGTTACCACCTGCCATCAGAAACATTGACTCCCTCACACTATTCAAATCAAGACTCAAAACCCACTTATTTAAGAAAGCTTTTAACACTTAATTTTTTTCTGCACTATTATTGTGTATATTTTATTATTTCTCTTGTTGTTTTATTGCTCTTGTTGGTTGTACGGTGCCCTTGAGCGCCTTTAAATAAAATGTATTATTATTATAAAAATGTATTATTATTATAATCAGACCCCCATAATTTTATAAACCTTAAATGGTAAGTTTTGCAAGTAGTTATGTGTATTTAAATGTCTGAAAGCTAAAATAAATTATATTTGTTTTAAAACACTGATAAAATGTGATTTATGACAAGCACTCTGCACATCTTTCTGTGCCTCAGCGGGATTTAAATATGAGTAGTTGATGATGTGTTATAACTTGATAATCACAGTGATGTGATCGTACACTTTAGTGAACAGTGTAGCCGTGCATTTATACTTCTGTATGCTGTTTGTGTTGCTCTGCAATTACACTTCCGAAATGCTAGCTGGCAGTAATTTTTTATGTTCCTTTGTGTCGAGTTTCTTTGCAGGTGTTTTGTGTACCTTAAATGTACAAGTAGCTAAAACTCACTCATTCAGAGGTGTGAGCCAGCGGACATGCAACAACTTCAATCATAAGGTAAATGCAAAACAACAGTCTGCATCTGGAGCTTCTTCATGGGACTCAACACTTGTAAACATTTGATCCATCTGGCTCACGGCTCTCAGCACCACCCACACTCATCAAATCTACCAAGCCGACCAATCCCAGAGTTTGCACTACATGTCATTGCGACATTACATTTTTGTAGATGCATGTCAGCATCAGCCACAGCGAGGGCTATGCCACCACATGAAGGCTACACCAAAGCATATGTGTGCACTTCACACAGAAGTATAAACCAGCCTCACCTCAAATAACCAGTCGTCACAACCGAGGTCTGCAGAAGAGCATCTCTGAACACACAACACATCCAACCTTGAGGTGGATGGGCTACAACAGCAGAAGACCACACCAGGTGCCAGTCCTGTCAGCTAAGAACAGGAAACTGAGGCTACAATTCACACAGACTCACCAAAACTGGACAATAGAAGATTGGAAAAAAGTTGCCTGGTCTGATGACTCCATTTCTGCTGATCGAAGGGTTAATATCTGGTGTCAACAACGTGAAGGCATGGATCTATCCTGCCTTGCATCGACAGTTCAGGCTGGTGGTGTTGGTGTAATGGTGTAGGGGATATTTTCTTGGCACACTTTGGGCTCATTAGTACCAATTAAGCATTGTGTCAACGACACAGCCAACCTGAGTATTGTTGCTGACCATGTCCATTCTTTTATGACCACAATGTACACATCTTCTGATGGCTACTTCCAGCAGGATAACGCAACATGTCATAAAGCTCAAATCATTTCATCTGTACCTAATTAAGTGGCCAGTGAGGGTATATGTGGTGCTGTGAACAAATGATACTAAAACACAGAAGAATGCTGTGAGACTGCTAATGATATCCTTCATTATCACATTGAGTACTGAGTACAGACATAAACAGAGCAATATGATGGGTTTTAAATAGTTGAGGCAATAACTGTTAATGTGTCTCCACTGGTCATCTAGTTGATACAGTATTAGCAGGTTTAGTTGTAACAGGGTTAATCAACTTAGCAGTGACTGCAGTGCATTTAACATACCTATGCAGCTCTGCAAAGGGCATCGTATGAGATTTTTCACTGTGTAACTCACTAACCAAAGTGTTAATATAAGAGCTCCTACAATGCCTGTATCATACAGTATGGGCAAAAGGCCGGAATGATATTAAACGTTTGCAAATTGACCTAAATCTGTTGACATGTAGATGGGAACTTGTTCCTTGTCCTGTATAGCAATGATCTGCAATGGTAATGGGTGGATGGTAAGATCGGAACAGGGAGGTTTAATAATACTTTTGGTATGCTTTAAGAGTAATGCAGTACATAATGTGGATGGCGTATCACTGCTTAACCCATCAGTTTTAAAGGTCTTTACACCTTTAAAATAACCCAATAAACAACAAAAAATGTATAAATAATAAATGTAGTATTTAGCTTTAAAAATAGAGAAAATAAGTATTGAAGATCAAAACAAGCTTGCATTACTATAGCAACTATAAACAGTAGACTGGGAGGATTTCTTATTGTTTATTTCTTTATTTCTTCAACATTTGATTGGGCGGTGAGTGATGCAGACACAGTATAAACGAAAGGACAGAAAGGAGAGCAGAACAAACTCCTAACAGGAGGAGACTCACTCATGGCCTACGAGACAGAGCATCAGGAGACTCAATACTGCTTTCCTAACATCAACTCATCATGTGTCAAAGGGAGACGCTATAGACATGAATATATCATCATGTATGTGTTCTTTTCACTGCTGTCAGCATGGACTGTGTTTCTTAACCTGCTGGTGATCATCTCCATCTCACACTTCAAGAAGCTTCACACTCCAACCAACATGATTATTCTCTTTCTGGCTGTAAATGATCTGCTTATTGGACTTATTGTGTTGCCTGTGGAGGCCATCAGGCTGATTGAGAGGTGTTGGTACTTTGGAGAAACTTTTTGTTTTCTGTATTTAATATTAATTGTGCTTATTTTCTCTGCATCTCTCAGTTATTTAGTTTTAATTGCTGTTGATCGTTATGTGGCTGTGTGTCACCCTTTACTGTACCCACAGAAAATAACCATCACTAACATGTTAAAGAGCATCTGTCTGAGTTGGGTTTGCTACTCAGCTTATAACATCGCCTTTGTAATTAATAATAGAAACTTAAACTCTTCACAAAAAACAGATGTGTGTTATGGACAGTGTTTAATCATGATGAGTTTTAGCTGGACAATCATTGATTTGTCCATTTGTTTTATTTTTCCCTGTCTCATAATGATCACTTTATATTTGAGGATTTTCTATGTTGTTCATCAGCAAGTGAAGGTTATAAACTCTCTGATGAAGGGTGCTAAATGTGAAACGGAGGGTTCAGTGAAGAGGAAATCTGAGAGTAAAGCTGCTCTGACTTTAGGAATCATTGTGTCTGTTTATCTGCTTTGCTATATCCCATACTATATCTGTACTTTACTTGTAAGCTCCTCCACAACTATAAATGTTTTAATGTGGAATGTACATGCTAATTCAGGTCTGAATCCTCTGGTTTATGCTATATTTTACCCCTGGTTTAAAAAGACAGCTAAACTCATCTTGACTCTGAAAATATTTCAGCCGGCGTCCTCTCTGATAAATATATTTACAGAAAATGAATTGTAACTAAGCTGGTAAAGCTGATAATATTATCTGTGATTCCCTTAATAGTATTAAAACAATTACATATAAACATAAGATCAAATTTAGGATAATAGAACATAATTGTTAATAATATCACTGTTTCTTTTGTTTCTAACTACATTCATTATATTGTGTGTGGGGCATTGGAGATGTTGGAGGTAAATATTATTCGGATAATTCACTAACATATTAGGATATTAATTAAATTTTATTAAGCCATTATTATTATTTTTTTTCAATTAAAAGGTCACACATGAAAGCAGAACTCATTAAAGCAGTGTTGTAGTCCCCAGGTAGTATGTCTGTATGTACACTGAGAAATAAAGGTATAAGATCTGTCACTGGGGTGGTATTTTTTTCAAAAGATACAATTTTGTTCCTAAAAGGTCCATATTAATACCTCAAGGGTACTTTTCAACACCTAAAAAGTACAAAAGTGTTCCTCCTAAAATTTGTAGGCACTAATATATACTTTTGAGGTACCAATATGAACCCATCAGGTACAAATGTGAACCTTTTGAAAAGGTACTACTCCAGTGACAGCTCACGTACCTTTATTTCTGAGAGTGTATAACATTCCCATCAAACAAAAAAGATGAGCACAGTAGTGAGTGTGTGTGTGTGTGTGTGTGTGTGTGTGTGTGTGTCTGCGTGCGTGCATGCGAGAAAGTTTAACTGAATTAGTTTATTTCTTAACAATTTCTGTGATCTCATAATAGCGAGCATCACAGTCACGCAGCACAATCACCTCACAGCAAGAAGGTCACTGCTTTGAGCCTCGGCTGGGTCAGTTGGCATTTCTGTGTGGAGTTTGCATGTTCTCCCCGTGTTTGCGTGGGTTTCCTCCGGGTGCTCCGCTTTCCTTCACAGGTCCAAAAACAAAACAGTAGTGAATTTGTGTAAATGAAAGTGTATAGGTGTTTCCCAGTGATGGGTTGCAGCTGGAAGGGCATCCGCTGCGTTCAACATTTGCTGGATAAGTTGGCGGTTCATTCCACTCTGGTGGCCCCAGATTAATAAAAGGAATAAGCTGAAAAGAAAATGAATGATAGCTCATTCACTCATATCATGATAGCTGAAACCATACAGATTTATATCAGAGTTGCACAAGTCAGAATTCGGTTTATAACCACAGCACGGAAACTGCCCTGATTAAAATCACCAATGACCTTCTTATGGCAGCTGATTCTGGACTAATATCTATTCTCATTCTCCTCGACCTGAATGCGGCCTTTGACACTATTTGTCACAGCACCCTCATCACTAGACTATATCCACTCTTGGCATCACCAATACCCCACTTAACTGTTTTAAATCATTATCCATTCAACTTAAATCATTCACTTCTCAGCATTTTACAGTTTCTTTGGGTGTACCCCAGGGCTCAGTCCTGGGCCCCCTGCTTTTAACATCTATCAAAATTATAACTGCATTATCTAATGCAGTACATAATATTGGTGGCGTATCACTGTTTAACCCTTCAGTTTTAAAGGTCTTTACACCTTTAAAATAACCCCCTACCACCCCCCAAAAAATGTATAAAATAATGAATGTAGTTTTTAGCTTTAAAAATAGAGAAAAAATGTATTCAAGATCAAAACAAGCTTGCATTACTATAGCAACTATAAACAGTAGACTGGGAGGATTTCTTAGTATTTATTTCTTTATTTCTTTAACATTTGATTGGGCGATGAGTGATGCATATAACTGAAAGGACAGAAAGGAGAGCAGAACAAACTCCTAACAGGAGGAGACTCACCCATGGCCTATGAGACAGAGCATCAGGAGACTCAATACTGCTTTCCTAACTTCAACTCATCATGCATCAAAGGAAAACGCTCTAGACATGAATATATCATCATGTATGTGTTCTTTTCACTGCTGTCAGCATGGACTGTGTTTCTGAACCTGCTGGTGATCATCTCCATCTCTCACTTCAAGAAGCTTCACACTCCAACCAACATGATTATTCTCTCTCTGGCTGTAAATGATCTGCTTATTGGACTTATTGTGATGCCCATACAGGCCATCAGACTGATTGAGACATGTTGGTACTTTGGAGAAACTTTCTGTGGATTCTATTTAATACTAATAGGGCTTATTTTCTCAGCATCTCTTAGTAACTTGGTTTTAATTGCTGTTGATCGTTATGTGGCTGTGTGTCACCCTTTACTGTACCCACAGAAAATAACCATCACCAACATGTTAAAGAGCATCTGTCTGAACTGGCTTTACTACTCAGCTTATAACACGTCCTTTGTAGTTAATAATGGAAGTTTTGACTCTTCACACAGAACCGAAGTGTGTTATGGAAAGTGTTCAGTCATGATGAGTTTTAGTTGGATCATCACTGATCTGTTCATGTCTTTTATTTTTCCCTGTCTCATAATGATCACTTTATATTCAAGAATTTTCTATGTAGTACATCAGCAAGTGAAGGTTATAAACTCTCTGATGAAGGGTGGTAAACGTGTAACAGAGAGTTCAGTGAAGAGGAAATCTGAGAGTAAAGCTGCTCTGACTTTAGGAATCATTGTGACCATTTATCTGCTTTTCTATATCCCATACTATATCTGTATTTTATTTGTGAACTCCTCCACAACTATAACTGTTTTGGCGTGGGCTGTATGTGCTAACTCAGGTGTGAATCCTCTGATTTATGCTTTATACTACAGCTCATTTAAAAAGACAGTTAAACACATCTTCACTCTGAAAATTTTTCAGCCGGCATCCTTTCTGTTATGTATTTTTAAATAACATGAAGTGACTCTCACTTGACATCATCTGTGATATTATAAATTAAAACAATTACATATAAACATAAGGTCACTTTTAAGAATAAATAACTAAACTGGTAGTGATAACCTTTTTGTTTCTAACTTCTACATTCATTACACTGTGTTCATGGATGGCACTGAAGATGTTTGAGGTGAATAATGTTCAGATGACACTAGTGAATCATTGATGTATTAAGCAGTTGATTAAGTTTTCATTAAGCCATCATGTTTTTTTTTTTACAGTCCACAGGTCACACATGAAGGCATTCACTCAGTCATTGTTCATAAAACATCAGATCAGTGTGTGTTTGTGTGTTTACAGTACTTTGCAAAGTTAATGAATGGTTCAGTTAAGGATCATGCCTGAAGAGAGGCCTACTGTACCCACACTGCCATTTACAAGCCCACAGTACAATATTACAACAAACTATATCAAAACTCTATTCTAAAATTAATACTGAAAATAAACAAATGGCCAGGCTTTTTTGTTGGGTTTTTTTGTATAAAAAGAGACACAAAAGTGATCAAGAGTGACAGCAACACTTAAATTTGATCGAATCCAGTTGCTTGATTATTGTTGTAAGTACTTATTTGTGGCATAAATAATGTTCATGCCCTCATATTCAGGTGCTTCCAGAAATGCACAACACACATATAATCCTGAAGACTTTATGCAAAATACAAATGCAAAAGGGGCTCATTTTGTGCGCTATTTTGCATGAGAACATTTTGTGAGTTGTAGGTGTTGTATCGTTTGTTATTTAAGTAGGTCGACCATTAAATAATTGCAATAATCAGCAGAAGGTTGTGCATTAAGGGTATGCACTTTACTAAGACATGACGTTTGCTGTATGTGTCGGGTGGGTCTTTGCCTCTTTGTTGTACATTTAAAATCCTTAAATGGATGGTAATCCATTGGTTATCTCTTACAAATACAAATCTACATCTTGAAAACTTGTGTTATAATATCATAATCACACTGGTGTGATCGTACACTTCAGTGACCAGCCAGGGTTGATCATACAGGTATGATTGTACGCCTGAAAGGGTTGAAGGCCACTCTATAATGTACAGTTTTATCACAGCACAATGACACAGACGTTGCAGGTTATTAGTGTGCAATTGGCATGCTGACTGCAGGAATGTCCTCCAAAGCTGTTGCTCATTTAATTGAATGTTAATTTCTCCACCATAAGAAGTCTCCAAAATCTTTTCAGAGGATTTAGCGGTAAATCCATCCGGCCTCACAACCGCAGACCACATATAACCCACATCTGTCCAGGACCTCCCCAAAGCTAAATAATTTCTGCACAAACTGTCAGAAACCTTTCAGGGGGCCAAATTTACATGCTTGTCCTTGTAGTTTTTTCAAACGCTCATGACTGTTTTTATATTTTGCAATTATATTGTATAGTTTGACATGTAATGCTTCCAAAAACTGGAAAACAAAAGACTGGAAAAACGTTGCCTGGTCTGATGACTCTCGATTTTTGCTGATGGTAGAGTCAGAATTTGATGTCAACAACATGATAGATTAAATTTATCCTGCCTTGCATTTATGGTTTAGGCTGGTGGTTGTGTAGTGGTGTGGGGGATATTTTCTTAGCACACTTTGGGCCTACTAGTACCAATTGAGCATCGTGTCAACGCCACAGTGTAAAAGATATGGACGTAGTATCCGTGACGTCACCCATGGGTTTCTGAACACTGCAAAAAAAGCTACAAGTAGGTGCAGCCAAATGTCCAACCGGGGCTCAATGTGGAAACGTAGCCCCGCGGACGTTTCTACGGACCGCGATCTACGTCCTGGGAGGTACATATTCGATCAGTTTTTGTTTTCGCGGATCCGCAAGAGGCCGCTGTGCGCGCTTTTTTCGCGTCTCGGGCGCCTCTCGGGAGCACGCGCCGTTCGCGCCTGCGCCGTTCGCGCCTGCGCCGTTCGCGCCTGCGCCGTTCTCGCGCGAAAAGCCGCCCTCCTCTTCCTCCTCCTCCTCCTCCTCCTTCCCTAAACCCGAGCGACGGTTCGCAAAAGCAGTCCAGAAAAAAAAAAAAAAGCAAACGCTCTCGTCTTCGACCGCGTTTTCTGATCCCGCCGCATTCTTGCCCTTATTTTTCGGATTCCATTTTTCGTCTTACTCCGGAACCGCTGTTCCCCGGACTTGATCCCGGTCGTCCCCGCAGCCGGCTCCTCCTCCTCCGGGGCCTCCGCTCCGCCGACGCAACGCTGTGAGCTAAGCGGACAAACTGGTTGCATCGGGAAAGCCCTTCACTCGGAGGCGAGCCGTCGGCCGGTGAGCGTGAAGAGGAGGGGCGGAGCGGCGCCACACCGCCCCGCAGCGTTCGCTCGAAAAAACTAAACACGGTACGTACCTTCAGCCACGTAAATCGCGGTCTCCAGAAATGTCCGCGTGGCTACATTTCCAGAATGAGCTTGGGTTGCAAATGTCGCCATTTTGTTCGCACGTCATCGCACCCATGGCGGGATACCAAAAAAGGGCAAAGAGGCGGAGAGTGAGCAGAGCTGCAGACACCTGCTAACATTTTGCTTAGACAGACTTTACTTTGGGAGAACGCTTAATACTTCATTATCTGCGACTCGTTTGTGTTCTTCTGACCACTTGTGCTTGGCTGTACACTATATCAATAGTGTTTAGACTTTTAAACACACTGTTGTAACACATCGAGCCACTTAGCAATGTTCTTGAGACATTTTTCAACAGGAGGAAAACGTGAAATAAACCAAAACGTAACACTGTAAGACAACGCTTCAGATGACTGTTCTAGAGCCAACATCTAATCAGTCTGTTAGATTCTGGAGTGCATTACAGGTCTAAAGAAAACTATAAATGATAAATGATCTTAAATAAAACAAATACAGTTATAGAGATGGTATAAGGATATAACTTCACTCACTTGGGAAATGGAGACAACTTGAATGGTTTGTGAGCACATTTAAGTGCACACAGCATCCCATATTATCTGATAATTGAATTTAATAAGTCCAAAAGGCAATCGACTGTGTAAAGAAACATTAACCAAAACAACAATACAATGTATGTGCCGAGCTTAAATAATATTTTTGGCATGCTATAAGAGTAATGCAGTACATAATGTGAGTGGTGTATAACTGTTTAACTCTTCAGTTTAAAGGTCTTTACACCTTTAAAATAACCCAATAAACAACAAAGAATGAATAAAATAATAAATGTAGTATTTAGCTTTTAAAATAGAGAAGAAAAAGTATTGAAGATCAAAACAAGCTTGCATTACTATAGCAACTACAAACAGTAGACTAGGAGGATTTCTTATTGTTTATTTCTTTATTTCTTTAACATTTGATTGGGCGGTGAGTGATGCAGACACTGTATAAATGAAAGGACAGAAAAGAGAGCAGAACAAACTCCTAACAGGAGGAGACTCACTCATGGCCTACGAGACAGAGGATCAGGAGACTCAATACTGCTTTCCTGACATCAACTCATCATGTGTCAAAGGAAAACGCTCTAGACATGAATATATCATCATGTATGTGTTCTTTTCACTGCTGTCAGCATGGACTGTGTTTCTGAACCTGCTGGTGATCATCTCCATCTCTCACTTCAAGAAGCTTCACACTCCAACCAACATGATTATTCTCTCTCTGGCTGTAAATGATCTGCTTATTGGACTTTTTGTTATACCCATACAGGCCATCAAACTAACTGAGACGTGTTGGTACTTTGGAGACATTTTCTGTGTTCTGTATTTAATATTAATTGGGCTTATTTTCTCTGCATCTCTCAGTAATTTAGTTTTAATTGCTGTTGATCGTTATGTGGCTGTGTGTCACCCTTTACTGTACCCACAGAAAATAACCATCACTAACATGTTAAAGAGCATCTGTCTGAGTTGGGTTTGCTACTCAGCTTATAACACTGCCTTTGTAGTTAATAATGGATATTTTGACTCTTCACACAGAACAGACATGTGTAATGGACGGTGTTCAGTCATGGTGAGTTTTAGTTGGACAGTCATTGATCTATTCATGTGTTTTATTTTCCCCTGTCTCATAATGATCACTTTATATCTGAGGATTTTCTATGTAGTTCATCAGCAAGTGAAGGTTATAAACTCTCTGATGAAGGGTGGTAAACGTGTAACAGAGAGTTCAGCAAAGAGGAAATCTGAGAGTAAAGCTGCTCTGACTTTAGGAATCATTGTGACCATTTATCTGCTTTGCTATATCCCTTACTATATCTGTTCTTTATTTGTAATCTCCTCCACAACTATAACCGTTTTATCATGGGCTGTACATGCTAACTCAGGTCTGAATCCTCTGGTTTATGCTTTGTTTTACAGCTCATTTAAAAAGACAGTTAAACACATCTTCACTCTGAAAATATTTCAGCCAGTATCCTTTCTGTTCCGTATTTTTAAATAACTTGAAGTGACTTTCACTTGACCTCATTTGTGATATTATAAATTAAAACAATTACATATAAACACAAGGCCACTTTTAAGAATAAAAAACTAAACTGGTAGTGATAAGCTTGTTGTTTTTGTTTCTAACTTCTACATTCATTACACTGTGTTCATACAAGACACTAAAGATGTTTGAGGTGAATAATGTTCAGATGACACTAGTGATTCGATGTATTAAGCAGTTGATTACATTTTTATTAAGCTATCATGTTTATTTTTACAGTCCACAGGTCAAACATGAATCAACTCAGTCATTGTTCATAAAACATCAGATCAGTGTGTGTTTGTGTGTTTACAGTACTTTGCAAAGTTAATGAATGGTTCAGGGAAGGATCATCAGTATCAACCTGCTGAAAAATCCAGCTTGAACCAGCCTAAGATGGTTTCCAGTCATTTCCAGCCTGGTCTGGTCAGGCTAAGGCTGATCAGTAAGGGTAAACAAAGACAGACCAACCTATGTGACTGCCTGAAGAGGCCTACTGTACCAACACTGCCATTTTACAAGGCCACAGTACAATATTACAACAGACTATATTAATAGTCTATTCTAAAATTAAATCATAATTAAAAAAGATGTTTACATAAAAGGAGACAAGAAAGTGATCAAAAGTGACAGCAACATTTAAAATTGATCAAATTCAGTGGGTTAAGTTACTAAGTACTTATTTGTGGCATAAACAATGTTTATGCTCTCATATTCACGTGCTTCCAGAAATGCAAAACAAATTAAAATTACAAAAACAAATTAAAACAAATTAAAATTGCAAAACAAATTAATCCTGAAGACTTCATGCAAAACACAAATGCAAAAGGTGCCCATTTTGTGCTCTATTATGCAGGAGAGATCAATTTGTGAGTTGTATGAAAGCAATCGAATAATATATATATATATATATATATATATATATATATCAGCACTGGTGGGAGGCGTGCGTTGGCACGTAGCAGCAGGCCAAGTGCATTAGTGCCCTCACCAGTGCTGATATACAGCCATATCGCACTGCTGCGAGTGTGATATTGCGTTTATACAACTGTTTGACAGCATCATTGTGTATATAAAAACAAAATTAAACATGGAGAGTCTCAAAAACCCTTTTGTATGAGGAACTACTTTCTTCCGCATTGAATTCAAATCATAAGCTGACAGTTAAACAGCTGAGCAAGCATCTTTTACACTTTAGATCTGTAGTGTCTGCTTTTTGCTGGCTGTATGTGGGCAGAGTAATACACAAAGGGTAAAGAGGCTTAACGGGTGATGAAATTACTTAAAAATTTCACCTCTATCAGCCAATTAGATTCGAGAACCAGACAGAACTTTTGTATAAATATATATATATAAACACCATTTTATGATTTTATGTTAAAAATAAAGTTTAAATGTTTTATTCTTAATGATTAACAGCCTGAATGACTAATATTCATTCATTTTCTTTTTTCGGCAGCGGATGGCCTTCCAGCCGCAACCCATCTCTGGGAAACTGAATGATATGTACTGGGATAATCTGTTATTCTACTAAACAGCTACTTGGTTATTGCATGGCAGGCCCGTAGCCAGCATGTTATAAGGGGTCTTTATTTTAAATGTGGACCTTTTTGCAGTTATTCACTGTCCTCAGTCAGAATTTGGCTATTTAAATAATAAAAAAATGTAAACATAATAATAATAAAAGAGCTTCACAATTTTTGTAGCCTCTCTTGTAAAAAAAAAAGTACATTTGATTTGATGGAAAATTCATGGATAACAAGATTATCCATGGATTCTGCTTGGTCTTATATCCTTTATCAATGGGTTGATTTCACTATTTATGATGATATAACAGGGCGAAGCAGTGGTGCCCTGCTATGCCCTGCTATGGCGCAGTAGGTAACGCTGTTGCCTCACAGCAAGAAGGTCGCTGGGTCGCTGGTTCAATCCTCGGCTCCATTGGCCTTTCTGTGTGGAGTTTGCATGTTCTTCCTGTGTTCGCACGGGGATCCTCCGAGCTCCGGTTTCCCCTACAGTCCAAAGACATGCGGTACAGGTGAATTGGGTAGGCTAAACTGTCCGTAGTGTGTGAGTAAGTGTTTGTGGATGTTTCCCAGAGATGGGTTGCGGCTGGAAGGGCATCCGTTGTGTAAAAACACGCTGGATAAGTTGGTGGTTCATTCCATTGTGGCGACCCCAGATTAATAAAGGGACTAAGCCGACAAGATAATTAATGAATGAATAATGACATAGCAGTAAAAATAAAACAAATGAGCCATTGTATGGGACAAATTCTGGACATCGGTCATTGAGGGGTGGGTTTTTCCAAACACCCGAACCCCTTTGGCTATGGGCCTGCATAGTTACCATGAATAAGGTTCAAAATGGGATAATTTTGACACTTACCACTACTATTTTTAGATTGGAGCTGGAATTCATGTATATGCTTCGATGTCAGTTCAATGTACAGCGTGCATCGCATTATCAGACTATTGTCATTGACAGAGTGAAAACAGACTGAAATTGAGGCCAGGTGACCTGGGGCCTCATGTATCAACGCTGCGTACGCACAAAAACTTTGCGTACGCCAGGTTTCACGCTCAGAATCGCTCACGTTTGGATTTACTAACAATGAACTGAACGTGGGAATGTGCGCAGGTTCACGGCAGCTTTCTGGCAGGCGTACGCACATTTTTTGTGCGTGTCTGTTTTATTTCTATTGGCGACTCCTAGAGGCAGTTGTGTTAAATTCTTCTCTACAAAGTGTCTGAGCCTTGCAATGGCAGCTGTATGAGACGGGTTCATATAGTAGGTATGTAAGATTTCCATACCATACAGTTGACCAGCTAAACATTAAACCACAATTTGCAGCGGTCGCCTGTTTTCCCAATGTAATCTGAGCTATCTACCGCACGCACATTGCTATAAAGACAATATCTGAAGATAAATTTGCATGCGTTAATCAGAAACATTTCCATTCAATAAATGTGCAAATAAAATATGATGCACAAACTTATTGATGATTCCTACTTGTCTTTCTCGTGATAAATAGTGGGCAAAATCTGATATGTAGCGGGGAAAAAAAGAAGAAAGAGTTCATCAGACGCTGGTTTCGAGCCGAGTTTATGCTCGTACGTGTCAGTACATGATCACATGTTTCTTATGAGGTGCGCCACTGAGACTGATAAGGGTACTGCAACATTTTACAGATATAAACCACACTATTTCTTTTTTAAAAAGAAAGTAAGTGCGATGTTCAGACCCAACTGTGTTAACCGTATCAGCTAAACTCTCCCACTCTATTTTTTTCTTTTGTTGTTAATTCCGGAGAACAAACTTGCAAATAACACCGCTTTTCTCCGGTCTACCTCCGAAAGCAGCACCTCCATTTCACATTCTGTTCAAAGTTTCTCTTTTTGCTTGATTTTGCCATTGCTTTTTCGTTGGGTTTTGCCATTAGCATAGTCATTAGCATATTCATACGGGGGAGGAGGCAGGAAGGGGTTTTGTGCTCGTGCATGTTGCGCTCAGTTTCACGTTTATTCGGATGTACAAAAGAATATGCGTGAGATTCGGCGTACGCAGTGTTTCATACATCTGAATTTTTTTCTGCGTACGCACATTTACAGCTTTGTGCGTACGCAATGTTTTAGTAAGATTTCCACGCAAGTCTTCGTACATGAGGCCCCTGGTCCGATAAACTCACTACACAGACAGCATGACCGTCCTTCTCGGAACCGCAGATGGCCATGGCGTGACGTCTCCCTCATCAGCGATCATACAACACTGGTGCGCGGCCGTGTGCGCCAAAACGAAAGCTGGAGACGCGTCTCTTCAGCAACCTCTCGCGACACAACCTCTCTAATGCTGCGCCTCGCGATATTTGCAAACAATACATATGGATCATTTTTATTATCATTTAACAGTAATGGAGGAACGCCACCAAATTTAGCGAAGTAAGTGTACTGATTTTTCTCTAATAATTTACTTGATTAAGAGTAAAAGTACACATATTTAAATGTACTCAAAAAGTACTCGTTACCCAAAAATTTTACTCAAGTAAATGTAACGAAGTAAATGTAACTCGTTACTACCCACCTCTGTTAACTTGGGCAGTAATGCTAAGTAATAATAAATAAGTGAATAAACAGCCTAAATGAAAGGAACAAGAGGGACCAAAATCTGCAGGTCTAGTGGCCCCATATGGGATTAAAATTCCCTCTCAGTAATGACATCCTGGCTCTGGGCTGAAACCATCTCTATTCAAAGTAGAGTCGCACTAGTCACAATTCAGCTGAGTGCACAGTTAAGAGTACTTTGGTGTGCTGCAAGAGTATTGCCGTATGTAATGTGGGAGGCGTATCACTGCTTAAGCCTTCAGTTTAAAGGTCTTTACACTGTTAAAATAACCCAACGAAATAATAAAGAATGAATAAAATAATAAATGTAGTATTTAGCTTTAAAAATAGAGAAGAAAAAGTATTGAAGATCAAAACAAGCTTGCATTACTATAGCAACTATAAACAGTAGACTGGGAGGATTTCTTATTGTTTATTTCTTTATTTCTTTAACATTTGATTGGGCGATGAGTGATGCAGACACTGTATAAATGAAAGGACAGAAAGGAGAACAGAACAAACTCCTAACAGGAGGAGACTCACTCATGGCCTATGAGACAGAGCATCAGGACACTCAATACTGCTTTCCTAACATCAACTCATCATGTGTCAAAGGAAAACGCTCCATTCAGGAATATAATATCATGTATGTGTTATTTTCACTGCTGTCAGCATGGACTGTGTTTCTGAACCTGCTGGTGATCATCTCCATCTCTCACTTCAAGAAGCTTCACACTCCAACCAACATGATTATTCTCTCTCTGGCTGTAACTGATCTGCTTATTGGACTTATTGTGATGCCCATACAGGCCATCAGACTGATTGAGACGTGTTGGTATTTTGGAGACACTTTGTGTGGAATCAATTTAATAATAATTGGGGTGATTTTCTCAGCATCTTTCAGTAATTTGGTTTTAATTGCTGTTGATCGTTATGTTGCTGTGTGTCACCCTTTACTGTACCCACAGAAAATAACCATGGCCAAAATGTTAATGTGTATCTGTTTGAGCTGGGTTTACTACTCCGCTTATAATACTGGCCTTGTAATTAATAATGGATATTTTGATACGTCACACAGAACAGATGTGTGTTATGGAGACTGTTCAGTCATAATGAGTTTTAGCTGGCTAGTCACTGATCTGTGCCTGTCTTTTATTTTTCCCTGTGTCATTATGATCACTTTATATCTGAGGATTTTCTATGTTGTTCATCAGCAAGTGAAGGTTATAAACTCTCTGATGAAGGGTGGTAAATGTGTAACAAAGGGTTCAGTGAAGAGGAAATCTGAGAGTAAAGCTGCTCTGACTTTAGGAATCATTGTGTTAGTTTATCTGCTTTGCTATATCCCATACTATATCTGTACACTATCTGTTAACTCCTCCACAACTATAACTGTTTTGGAATGGACTGTTTACACTAACTCAGGTCTGAATCCTCTGGTTTATGCTTTATTTTATCACTGGTTTAAAAAGACAGTTAAACTCATCTTAACACTGAAGATATTTCACCCGGAGTCCTCTCTGATCAATGTTTTTACAGTACATGAACTGTAATTTAACTGATGAAGCTTTGTTTAATAATAGTAGATGTTATCTGTGATAATACAATTATTTAAATGTAATGACATATAAAGATAAAATAGCATTTTTAAGAAAAAACAGCAGAGACAACATGTTTGCTTTTCTTTCTAACGTCAACATTTATTACACTGTGGGTCATTGGAGATGTTTTTGGGGTATATAATGATCACACTAGCGAATCATTGATGTATTAGGCTACTCATTTAATTTGTATTTAGTAGTCATGTTTATTTTTCCAATCCACTAACCACACATGAAAGATGAACTCATTGTATCTGAGTCAGTGTTGCATTAATTCAGTTTGTGTATGTGTGAACAAATCTTAACAATTATAATTGGTCCTCAGAGTTGTTACATCATTGATGTTTTCATTGATCATTAAGAGTAAACAAAGACAGACCAACCCATGTGACTGCCTGGAGAGAGGCCTACTGTACCAGCACTGCCATTTTACAAGCCCACAGCAGCATTGTAATAAATTAAATCTAATTTCTAATTAAGGATTAACCACATAAGGCCCAATGTGTTTTTAACATGCAATTTTTATTTCTCTTTGTTATTTGGGCTTATTGGAACATAATTTGAATAAAACTTAAGTATCATCTTTTAATATGATGTACGTTTAGAGAAAAATGATGTCCATTTATGTGAACTCTTGGTCTGAATTTACATAAAACACTTTTTTCAGACTGTTTTCTATGCATATATAACTTTTTTTTTTTTTTTTTGACTATCAGAGAGAAAAAACAAAATTCTTTGCCCATTTTGGACAGTTAGAAATAATGTTTGGGACATTGCATATGCTGCAAAACAGTTATTTTGTTACGGACAGGATGTATGTCTGTAACAAAATATAAGTATTTTAAATAGCCACTTAATAAAAGCTAAAATACCCTGTCCATGTATGTGGCCACTAAGTTATTACTTAAAATACAACAAGCGACCAGGCTCTGATGTGTGTTGTTGACAGAAAACATATCCATAGGCAGAGCTTTCTCCTGATCATGACAGAACAACACTGAAAACCAATAATCATTTGAGGAATGTTTGTTAATTATTAGGATATGCAAATCTTATGAATATTCATTCATTTTCCTTTGGCTTAGTCCCTTATTTATCAGGGGTTGCCACAGTGGAATGAACTAACAACTATTCCAGCATATGTTTTGTCCAGCAGATGTGCTTCCAGCAGCAACTAGTACTAGGGAACACTCATACACTTAAATTCACACCTACTCATACACTACGGCCAATTTAGCTTTTTCAATTAATCTATAGCGCGTGTGTTTGGACTGTTGGGGAAACCCAACCACCTGAAGGAAACCCACATGAACACAGAGAGAACATGCAAACTCCACACAGAAATGCCACATCCACTATCTTCACCTACATGACCACCTGAGATCAGTCATCCAGACAGCTGCTGAAACAATGTGAATATAGTGGCCCATGGTGTTGGTAAGACTAAGGTATGGGCAGGTATATGATATGGTCAGCGAACACAGCTGCATGTTATTGATGGCACTTTGTAATGCACAGAGACACTGTGAGAAGATCCAGAGGCCCATTGTTGCGCCATTCATTCAAAAACATCACTGCAAGCTTCAAGAATCTGTACACAATTCCTGGAAGCTGAAAACATCCCAGTTCATTCATGGCCAGCACACTCACCAAACATGTCACCAATTCATTGTTTGGGATGCGGTGGAATTATTTATACGGCGTGTTCCAGTTTCTGCCAATATCCAGCAACTTCACACAGTCATTAAAGAGCAGTGGACCAACATTCCACAATCAACAACCAAATCAACAATATGTGAAGGAGCTTATTTGCACTGCGTAAGGCTCGAGGTGCTAACACCAGGGGCCTCATGTACGGAGACTTGTGTTAAAATAATACTAAACATTGCGTACGCACAAAGCTATAAATGTGTGTACGCAGTAAAAAATTCAGATAGATGAAACACTGCGTATATCGAATCACACGCATATTCTCTTTGTACATGTGAATGAACGTGAAACTGAGCGCACGTGAAACTGAGCGCACGTGCACGAGCGCAAAACCCCTCCCCCGTATGAATATGCTAATTACTATACTTTAGCAAATCCAACAAAAAAGCAATAGCAAAAGCAAGCAAAAAGAGAAACTTTGAACAGAATGTAAATTGGAGGTGCTGCTTTCGGAAGCAGACTGGAGAATAACGGTGTTATTTGCAAGTTTGTCCTCTGGAATTACTAACAAAAAAAATTTGAGAAATAGAGTGGGAGAGTTTAGCTGATGCGGTTAACAAAGTTCGGTCTGAACATCCAACACAATCTCATGGCAATTCGTAACTTTTTCATTTAGTGGCTAATTCGTACAAATTCGTACGATCTAATTCGTACATTTTAGTACAATTTGCGTATCCCCCAATGACAGTTGGGTTTAGGGGTGGGGTCAGGTGCCACGCCTCCTTTTTAAAATCGTACATTTTCTTACGACTGAACTCGTACGAATTCGTACGAATTAGCCACTAAACTGCCAAAACCTAAAATACTTACGTTTTCTCGTGAGATCAGGCTGGAACATCGCACTGAGTGGAATAAAAAAAATAGAGTGATGTATAGGTGTAAAAGTTTGTGGCGTAGCTCGTAGAACGCATGGCAACATGTTTTGACACGTTCAAATTACGCTTTAATGTTTGGCTTGTCAACTGCATGGTATGGAAACCTTGTATACCTGCTAGACATGCGGATGAACCCGTCTCATACAGCTGTCATTGCACGGCTCAAAGACACTTTGTAGAGTGCAATTTAACACAACTGCCTCTAGGAGTCGCAAATGGAAATAAAACAAACATACACCGTGGTGTGGACCTGCGCACATTCCCACGTTCATTTCACCGTTAGTATATTCAAAGGTGAGTGTGAAACCTGGCGTACGCAAAGTTTTTGCGCGTACGCAGCGTTGATACATGAGGCCCCAGATACTCACTGGCTTTCAAAAGCAAAAGTGCTGTGCTAATATTCTAGTTGAGTGTATTCAATTTTGCAAAGTCGGTTTAGTTTGCTTTCATATATTGTATATTTTGACATGTATTTGTTTTATTCTTTCATGATTCATTTGTATTTTGCTTCATTTATGTGTGATTTTTGCTGTTGTGTTGCCTGCTTTTAAAGCACTTTGAGAAAGATAAAAATTTATTTATTTATTATTATTATTATTATCAAAATATCTTCAAAATGAGCTACTTAGAAAGAACAAAATGAAGACAGCTGAGTGGCCTAGTTCAACTCCTGATCTAAATCCTATTGAGACGCTGTGGCATGATTTTAAAAAGGCAGTTCCTGCTCAAAAATCCTCCAATGTGGCCGAATTACAACAATTCTGCAAAGATGATCGAGTCAAATTTCTTCCACAGTGCTGTAACAGAGTCATTGCAAGATACCAAACAAGCTTGATTGATGTTGTTGCTGCTAGAGATGGCTCAAAGAGCTTTTAGGATTAGGGGGCAAGCACTTTTTCACACAGGGCTATGTAGTTTTGTATTTTGTGTTTTCTTAATAATAAAACCTTACTTTCAAAACTGCATGTGTTTACTAGTGTTATATTTGACTAATATTTAAATATTTTTGAACAAAACCCTGTTATAAATCTTCTAAAACAGTGGTCACCAAATTTGTTCCTGGAGGGCCGGTGTCCTGCAGATTTTAGCTCCAACCCTAATCAAACACACCTGAACAAGCTAATCAAGCTCTTGCTAGGCATACTTGAATCATCCAGGCAGGTGTGTTGAGGCAAGTTGGAGCTAAACCCTGCAGGGACACTGGCCCTCAAGGACCGAGATTGGTGACCCCTGTTTTAAAACATACAGTGGCATGCCTAGTCCAGACCTATTTATAAATGGATCTTACAAATCCTCTTTATAAAAAATTCATAACTAATCATTACAACAGCTCAACTTATAAATTGCTCTCGCACATCATGGATTAAATGTGGGTTGCATATCACCCACAGTTTCACATCACTTCTGTATGAAGGTCACCACTAATATCATCCAATAAACCACATAAAACAGATCAATTAATCAATGTAGCATTGATTAATGTAGGTTTCTATCAGGGTACACACACCAGCGCTTCAAGTCGCCGGCTGTCCATGGCGCCCAGCCAAGATTCGGGACACTTCATGTTTCTGCCGTGCCACAGACCTCCATCTCAATAGTTTTATTTTAAATAACATGCGAATGTGCGTGTCTTAGTGTGCCGTGTCGCGGATTTGGTGCCTCAGTCAAAGTTAATTCAGTGTGCGTGGTTTTTAGTCTCGGTCTACAAACTCAGAACTTTAAACTAGCACACAGTTGGCTGTAGAACTATGCAAAGACACAAATGATTTTGTAGTCTCTGCTTAATCTTTGTCTAAGTTGTTCATGTACAGCTGAATGCTTGTCCTCTCACTCTTGTTGCTTCTCTCTGTCTGCTGCAAACACAGATTGGGGGAGCTCTTGGCTCCGCCCCTTTGTTACATTGGGCGGGAAGTCAAAACTAATGAAGCTCACACCCCTAAAACAGCGAGCTGTGTACATGCCCCCAAAATGACACTTAACACATTATAATAAACAAATCTGAACTGTGTTTTGAACTGAACCTAAACTGGCACACTGAAAAGAACCATAACATTAATATTAAATCATAAAAAAGGGGTAAACTATGTGCCCTTTAAAATGTAGCTAAGTAACACATTCAGCTACTATTTTTTAAATGACATTAGATTGTAACATTCTACTTTTTCCTAACAATGATAGCTGATTAGTTGGGCATTAGGCAACATGAAGCGTGATGACTGGATTATGCTGATTTCACCATATTTATTTACTGGTTATATGAATAGCGGGTTAGCATGCTTGTGTGGGCATAGTTTGACGTCTTGACCTAAAACTTTAAACATTTTTACTATTTGGAAAAAAGCAGAAAGAAATAAGGAGAATAAGATATAATTTAAAGCACTCGTTTATAGTGCTGAAGCCATGTCCATGTGCATTAATAAACAGTATCGTTGGATTAACCTTTATTGACAAAAATAATAAAATAAAGCGAAACTGTACATATTATTATTACTATAAAAAGTATATTACTGCCTTAAGTCAGTTACTTAAGCAGTAATGCCAAGTAATAATAAATAAGTGAATAAACAGCCTAAATGAAAGCAACAAGAGGGACCAAAATCAGCAGTTCTAGTGGCCACTATGGGATATAAATGCCCCCCCCAGTTATGACATTTTGGCGCCGGGCCTGAAACCATCTCTGTTCAAAGTAGAGTTGCACTAGTCACAATTTAGCTGAGTGCACATAAGCTTACTTTGGTGTGCTGCAAGAGTATTGCAGTATGTACTGTGGGTGGAGTATCACTGCTTAACCCTTCAGTTTAAAGGTCTTCACATCTAAAACAAGCTTGCATTACTATAGCAACTATAAACAGTAGACTGGGAGGATTTCTTATTGTTTATTTCTTTATTTCTTTAACATTTGATTGGGCGGTGAGTGATGCAGACACTGTATAAATGAAAGGACAGAAAGGAGAGCAGAACAAACTCCTAACAGGAGGAGACTCACTCATGGCCTATGAGACAGAGCATCAGGAGACTCAATACTGCTTTCCTAACATCAACTCATCATGTGTCAAAGAGAAACGCTCCATTCAGGAATATATCATCA